CCCCAAAACCCCAAAACCCCAAAACCCCAAAACCCCTTCAAGAGTGGATCAAAGCAGTCAATTTAATAAATTAAAATTAATATAGATTGATACAAGGAATTATCAAATCCGCAGTTTTTAATTTTCTTCAAAATATAATATTGCTTATCCTGTAAAATGAGATACAAATGAAAATGACTGTGGCAAATATCCCAATTACTTAGAACACAAATGCCAATCTCACTGTCCAATCTCTGAAATGCAATTAAAGCTAATAAACTTACTTGATATCAAAGTGTAAAGCCACCTTCTAATAATAATAGCCAGATATTATAAACACTATTACTGGCTCAATAATAGCACAATTTAAATTTAATGCTTCCCAATGCTCTCTCAGATATACAGAAGAGTCATCTCTCCACAGGTGAAGTATGATAATAGGTGGGATTGTCAAAGAATAAATAATTGTAGAAATAAGTATATATTCCTATCTGCTGAATTTGAGGAAGGGCATTCTCACCACCTCATATAAATCTTCTCTTATTTTAGCAACCATTTAAAGTGAGTAGGGTGCATTGTCATTAGCATAGGCCTTCAGATCATTTATCTTTGAAGAGAGACCTCTGTTCCTCAATTCATCATAAATCACGAAGATGCATTCCTTGCAAATGTAGAACTTAAATGGAATCTAAATAAAAACCAGAGTCAACCTGCCCAGCTCATACCAAAGGTTGTATTGCAAATATATATTAGGGTTATTTCTGAGCGACGGGACATCACTAAGGCCATATTAGATAGAATTGATGAGGATGATAAAACTGCTTATCCAAGAGACCTAATTGGCAACTTAACTCTTTTTATTTTCACATAGGTACTGATATCCAATCATATAAAACGCATGAAAGAAATAGACTCTGCTATATGAAATTAGATTCATCCATCCACTTCCCTATTCAAATGATAAACTTGACTGCTATTCAGGGACTTTGAATTCCCCCACATAGAGAGCCAGTATCATGACATACCCAAGAACTAATTATTCAACGAAAAACAGGGTGATGCCTAAAAACTATGATTATAAACTCACTTCAAATTAAAGAGCTTACTCTGATGTTGTGGAAATCTTTAATTAAGCACATTGGGTAGACTATGATGCCTAAGAACACCATGATACAATTCTTGATTTAAACCTGGTCATCATTGAAATTGCCTCCATTCATTGCTCCAATGATAGTTTCCAATTCTGAACTAATGAAGTCTATTTGGTACTTAATTTAATGATTCAAATTTACCAATGACGAATATTGTATTAGAGGCGTAAACATTAAATACGAGAAACGAAATCATAAGTATTCCAGATCACCCTCCATCAAAGTAGTAAACTATCTCCTGAATCGAACTAATTTACTGCTTAGATCAAATTTAATTTTTACCTAAGTTTAGTGACCAGACAGATTTGCTTGTAGAAGTAACATGAAATTGTTGTGGTAAAGAAATTTAGTATCAGCATTATGATTGCTATAAACATTTATATGAGCTAATAAATTTACAAAAGACAAAGTTTTATCTAAAGTACAGGCCCATTTCAAAGAAACCACAGCCAAAACTAGAACTCACCATCATAAAAATGGCTGCAGTGATTGATAGTTTATTTTTTCTGAACGTAATGCCTTTGATGTTTAACAAATCAAATACTATTTACCTCCTTGGTAGTACTGGATTTCTTGGCTTGGGTTGATGCTCTCTTTCGAATTGTAATCATCCTCAGAAAATGTCGTATTTTGAAACTAAAACTAATTGATTGACACTTTGTCAGTCTCTGAAGAAAAATGAGATTTCATTACAAAACTTATTTATAATTAATCTTACTTTACATTCAATTGATTTTACTAAGCTGGTTATTGATATAATTTTTTATATCTTCTTAAAGTCAAGTTCTTGTAACATGGGGTTTTGGGGTTTTGGGGTTTTGGGG